TTTTGACTTGTTGTGGTGTTCTATTATCGTAAAACTCAAAATTTTTGTATTCTTTGTAAAATGGTCTAGTTGTAGATTTACCATTTCTATTAGTTATAATAGGTTCCATCACTTCTTTTAAATTGGAATTATTCTTTCCTTTCCATTCATTATAACGTTTGACAATTACGTTATATTTCAAACCTAAATGTGTTGAGTGAACTTCTTTCCCTGGATTAAAATTAACAGTTTTGTAATCTTTTCCTTTCCGTTGTGTGGTTTTTGATCTTAACCCTGGTACAGGAGTAAAATGTTTATTGCATTGCCATTGATTATTCGGAAGTACAAAGGCCACTGGTTGGGTGCAAGTGTCACTACAGCGAAAATAAAATCCAAGATAGATCACGTGAGTTCCAGAACTGAACCGGATATAAGTTTTGGTTTGTCTATTTTTAGCCGAATAAGAAAGTCTATTTTTAATCGCTACTAATTTATCTATTAATAGTTGGCGTAAACGTTTAAAATACTTTTTCACAGTATCAGGTGAAAATTGTCTGTTGATAGAAAATATAAATGCGAGATATGTCCCTATTAAGTAATTAAGATTAACTTTTTTACTAGTTGAGTTGAAGATCCTCTGATGATCATTAAGCATATCAATATCATTGGTGTAGACGTTGAAAGAATTTTTCTTTGTTAAACAAAGATCAGCATTTGGGTGTAACTCCATAAGGAAGTATCTACTTTTTTTGGTGTTATACAAGGTACCACTACCTCGTGTATCGCTAACTATATATGGATTAAGCTTGTGAGTTTGAAACGAATAAGCAAAAATATTACGTATTTTGTGTAAAGATTTCTTGTTGTAACCATCCTTATCAAGAACGGTCACGTGCGATTTAGAAACAGAAGCGTCAGAGGGGTTTATTTTCCCAAAGGAAGGTAAAATATTCAAAGGTGTCATAATAATAAAACTATTTGGTATACTATTATAAAATACTCTCTAAAAGCAACAGGGTATATTAAGGAGAACTTTCCGTCGAGGCCACCAAGTGGTCCTCTCTCCTTGTTTACTAACAATAAAGGTTAAAAAATAAAATAAAAATTTGTTTTACTGCGGAATTTTATAAAATCTGACGGAAAGGGGAGAGAGTTTTTTTTTCTGGCATATTATTCTATATTAATGTTGCAGATTAACGCTACCAAATATGGAATGCACGTGATCTGGGTTGATCTTCCGCAGACTGATCTGAGGCACAACATTAATATTTAACCATCTAATGTTGTTGGATAATTTATACATAAGGTATGGCGAAAATATCTGTTTATAAAACACTATAAGGATCGTTGCATTAATTACCGTAAATATTGTCAAAACGCAAGATAATATGAACAATCTCAAAAAAGTAGTGCTTCGATCTGGATGAAATGAAAACCATTATCCGGATTATACA